CTGCGTCAGCGACTGGATGCTCGCCATCAAGGTCCAGTGGAAGTTCTTCAAGAGGAAAGGCCCCCGGCTTCCTCCAGCGTCGCCGCGCTCAGTGCCCGTTCCCCAATAAACGGAGCGACCCGAGCCGTGTGCGCCTGCTGCTGGGGCCCTGCGCTCGCCGTCGCGCCCGGTCGTCCTGCCGGCCCCCTCCCCCGCCGCCAGGTGACCTGGCCAGCTGTCCTGAGCTATGCAGGGTGGCTGGTGGGGCCTGGCCGCGGCGGGCAGCTGGCCTGGGTAGTCCAGGGTTTGGAGGTTGCTCACCATACAGGGCCTGAGTGCTTGGGGTCTGAGGATGGATGAGAGCGAGACTCCGTCACTCTAGTCCAGGGCTCCCCTTCCTCCTGGCACCCACGGCTGGAGCCAGCGCCATGTCCATGCTGTCTCTGGGACTGGGAGTGCAGGAACTGCCCTGGCAGCCAGGAAGACAGTGACCTGTCAGTGGGATTAGGGGCTTTGAGTCCTCACCAGTGTCCCTGCTCCATCTGAGCAAAATGTGCCCTGACTTTGGTCAGCAAGGACAGGGAAGTGGCAGGACAGCTTTGTCCATCCATCCCTGATCCAGGACCTGTTTTGACAGTGTGGATGGACACCAGATGGGGAGTGAGCAGATTCCTTTAGCTGGGCTCATAGTGCCCAGGGCTGGAGTCTCCCCAGGGTCCCAGGCTGTCCTGCTCACGGTAGTCCTGAACTGTGCGGGTTTCCTGAGGGTGAGTGGGCAGGCCACCCCTAAGGACCCAGAGTTTTAGTCTCCCAGGGCCACTGTGCAAATGACTGGTCACATGGTGTGCCTCCTGGAGGTCAGCCAGAGGCAGCACTGGGGAGCAGAGGTGTGGCCCGTGGCTGTGCCCCTTGCCCCTCGCCTCTCCCAGCTTCCATGGCTGCAGTCACACCTGGTTATGGCTGAGTCACTGTCTCTGGGGTCATGTGAATTCCTCTGTTGGTGTCAAGTCTCCTCATAAGGGACCTATGACTGCACTTGGGGCACCCCTGGACAACCCAGGCTGACCTCCCATCCCCAGATCCTCACCTGAATCACATTTGCAAAGTTCTTTTTTGCACAGTTGTGATCACCAGGTCTCAGAGTCAGGTCCATGGTACCTTGGGCAGGGGTGGAAACGGCTCAAGAGAGGAACAGCCCAGTGGGCGGTGAGGAGCCCAGTCCAGGGGCACCCTCCATGGGTGAGCCCCTCAACACCTGATGGAGGAAGAGCAAGAGGATGACCCAGAAGCTAGGCAGCAGTGTGATTTGGGAGCCAGGTCCCCAGGACTGTGCTGGCCACCTCCGAGGGAGAGGGCCAGGCTAGTGGGTACAGGATGCTCAGTCAAAGCTGAACTGCAGATGAGCCCCAAATCATTTTTTAGTAGAGTCTTTGGGGCCTATTTAAACTAAAAGGTTTTTGTTGTGTATCAGAAATTCTTATTTGGCCGAGTGTCCTGTATTTTTTCTGGGGACCCTACTCAAGGACCCCAGGGGTTTTCCAAGGAACCCCAACCTATCTTGGGGCTTTCCTGGACCACCACTGTTGGTGGGTGGGACTGAGTGTGACCCCGCAGAGCCTGTTGGCCCCAGAAGTTGTCCTTACACACTTTACACACTTGGCCCTGTGAGAACTGGGGTGCCCCTGGGGAAACTTGTCGGCCTGATGACAGCCAGAATGAGGGTGAGAAAGAGCCCCTGCCTGGAGGTGAAGGAAGCCCCTAGGTAGAGACCCTGAGGGGCTGTGAGGTCCCCTCATCCTCCTGTTCCTGGTTGTTGTTGCAAATTCATGTCCTCTGGGAACCCTTCTCACTCAGATGCTATAGGTCAGCCAGGGTTATGTCCTCTGCCCTGTTATGTCCATTCTGCTGGCCAGCAGGCTGGGCTGGGGCTGCATTGTCCCCCACCAGGAATGCTGGGCATATTCTTTGGGTGGGGAAGGGCATACCCTGATGGTCCAGAAGGCCTGAGGACAGAGGTGGGGACACATCTCATTATTCCCATCAGAGTTCTTGAGAGGGATCATCTTGGCTGGGGTGGGGTCTCTGGGGGGGGGTCTCTAAGCCCTGGGCCCCCTTTTGGGGTGGGTGATGGAGGCAGACCCAGGAAGGGCCTAGAAGGCTCTGGGCCTTTCTGCAGTCCTGGTGCCAGGTCAGAAGGGACCTCCGAGGTGGGGGTGGGCAGAGCTGAAGGAAACAGAAGTCTGGGCTGAGCTCCTGGCATCTCTCAGGTGCCAATCCCATTATCAACTCTGTGGAGGGCAGGGACTTGGCCTGCACTGGGCAGGAGCCCTGGCCTCTGGGGAGTTGCTGGAACTGCCACACTTCAGCAGAAGTACTTCTGAGAGGGCAGGGGACCCTGGCCACATATCAGGTCTGAGAGGCAAGATGGCTGAGATGTGCTTGCTGGTTACAGGGAAGGCATGGTGCTGGCATGAAGTGACCACACAGTGACCAGCATCCTTCTGATGCCTCTGCTGCTGCCTAAGCTGGGGATGAGATGGAGGCAAATTGGGGTGGGACCTAGGAGACAGGCACCTCATTGAGCCAGTGGGGGGGAGCAGGGAGAGGAGAGAGCCCACAGGGGCTCAGACGGCCCCCTGGATATCATTTTGGGGAGCCCAATGGGCAGCCAGGTAGGTGGTGGTGAGGTGAGGCAGGTCACCAGAGCTCAGTGCCCTGGGTTGAGTTTGGCTGAGGGACCCCCAAGCCAGAGGAGGCCCAGCTGGCAGCCACTGGGGTCCTGCCTCAAATCTAAGGCAGCTGACCTCAGAGTAGCACCTAAGGTCAGGGATTGGGGTGGAACAGAGGCCAGAGGGGCTCCACCTTGTGCTAGGTTAGTGGAGACAAGGACTTACTCCGGCCACCTGCACTTTGGACACTTCTGAAAACCCGCACAGTGGTGGCCAGCAGTCCTGCAGGATCTGTCTCCTGGCCTGTCCCCTGGGGGCTTCCAGCTGCCTTCTGGAATCTGGGCAGGAGAGGCCTCCCTGTCCTCCCCAGGCTCCTGGGGTACCCCTGGCAGTGACAGTGCTGTGCCCAAACACAGCTTCTGGGCCCCCTCCAGGGGGCTGAGCCTCATGGCCGCTGTGACCCAGCCTTGGGACCTGGGCTTCTCATGTGCTGAGACTATGGGAATGACTGTCCTCCCGACGGTTGTGTCCCTGGCCTTGTAGTGGCTCTCGGAGAGGGACTATAGGCATGTAGGATTAGCGCCTGACCCACGTGTGTTGTGTGGACCTGGGTGTCTGTGTGAGAGTGGCCAGGTGAAGAGCAGTGCACACCTGTGAGGACTGGGGGGCTAGGGGAGTACTGGGGGGGTGTCTCAGAGCCCTTGGAAGCCAGGACAGGGCCTCTGTGCACATGTGTATATGCATGCGTGTGTGTCCCTGTGCACATGTGTCTCTGTGTGCTCTAGCTCTGCTGAAGTCAGACTGAGTCGCTGGGTGGCTGGACCTGGGCAGCACTGGGCAGTTCCTATCCTGTAGCCATGCAGGGAGAACTAGCAGGGTAGTGGGTGGGACTGGTAGGCACACGAGCCTCAAAGCTGCTCCCAACTCTGGTGGTTGGGTGTCCTCTTGTGAGATGGTCAGTGAGGGACCAGGACTGGTTCCTGAGAGCTGTGAGGTGTTGCTCATTTCTGGCTTCATTTGCCAGTCCTGCCCTCTGGCTCTGGGGGTCAGGTGGGGAGGAGAAAGGAGAGGGCCATGGTATCAGTGAGGCCAGATGTGGCATGTGACTGACAGCCACTGGTGTGGAGTCAGCCAGTGTGGCAGCTCAGCATCCCTGCTTGGGCCAGGGTTGGCCCATGGGGACCCTAAGGCATGGAAAGCAGAAGGAAATGAGAGAGGGTCACTTTCTCCTTGTCCCCTGTGCACTGCCCCCCAAGTCGAGCAGCAGGAGGAAGGAGAAAGAAGGAACCCTTGGCTCCTGGCTGCAGTTATGGAGAAGCTGACATGGTGCCAGGAGTCGGGCTCCTCTCCCCGCTCTGGGCCCTGGACTCAGCTCACTGGTACTGAGGACTGAGGAGGGCAGCAGCTCCCAAGGTCTGCATCTCCGACAGGGTACGGGCTGCAGCCAGAACTGGGGTGCAGTGGGGCAGAGCTCTGGGGATGGAGGTAGAGGGGCCGGTGGGTCAGGGAGCAGCCTTGGGCTGGGCTTGTGCCAACTTTGAATCCTTGTCCAAGGATTCCTGTCCCAGATGCCCCCCGCCCCCGGCTCTGGTTGAGGTTCACCGCCACCTGCTTTTGGAAGTTGGGCCAAGCCAGTCAGCTGGGTTCAGGGTTCAGTGTCTAGAAGGTGGGGGTGCTGCATGTAGCACAGGAGGGAGTCTAG